TACTCGAATTTCCTCACTCACGTTGTTACGACTGAATCGAGTTTTCAATTCTCTATCCAACGATGCCAAAACGAATTCTGTGGCTCGAATGGTTCGTGAGAAACTTCGAATAAAGGCCATTTCTCAATCTCTGAAATGATGTAAAAACGAGCGTTCTTGCTCATTTTGCACAAAAGGACGATAATTTTTGTAATTTCATAGATAACAGAAGACTATATTTTTTCTACATAACCCCCCCCCCTGACTTTAAAGCTGGATCCGCCCCTACCGATAGATTGATTAGGATACGCATGTTTTTATGTAAAACATCATTTTGGAAATATTTGTAGTTTTTTGGGAAAATGCAAAAATTTGAAATTTACGCGGATCTTGGAAGCCGTTCTCAGATTAACGGTCGTACCCTGCCGCAACGTAATGCTTGGAAAAAAATGCAACGAGAACGCATGATTTCCCGTCCAACCATCAATTAAATAAATTGCTGGCAACGTGGATTGGTTGATAACATAGCACTGCGTTCGCGCCTTTTCCTAATGGTTTGGCGAACGGCAGGATTGATTTCGCTCATTTGTCAGACGTTAGATTCGTTGTTTGATGGCTCAAAAACTACTACAAAGGAAAAGGAAAAACCCACGTGGGAAACCCAAGTGAGGGTGAAAAATAGGAGATATAAAAAAAGAGTGCGCATCGAAGCCCAGTATATTTTATGTACAGAAACCAGTTCAAAAAATACAAGCTCAACAGACAGAGTGGGAGGAAGGTGATGTAGAGAGGCCGGCCACTTACCGGCTGACGGGTCCGGTTTCTGGCGAAAACTCCTCACGTCGTCGATGTCCGGAGCGATAACCTCGACGCTGTTGTAAACCTCCAAACGGTCCAGCACCTCGCCACTTTTTCCTGAATTCGCCCGTCCAATGCGGTTGTCTCGCTCTGTCTCGTTGCTACTATCGCAGTCCACCTGCCGGAAACAATTGTAACTCCAAGAACATTCGCCAAATTGACTGGTATAGGTCAGATAAGGTACCTTTGCGCAGGCTCCTCTGCAGATCTGTAGGCGGCACCGGAGGTGCAACCGGTCTCTATCGGGGAATTTGAAGGCGGCGAATCGGGCCACGGCCTCCTGATGGCGCATGGACGCGATTGGCCGGAGTGGGCCAAATTTGGGGACCGGGAGGAGGGCTTCGTCCACCGGACAGCCCCGATCGTCCAGCAATTTTTGGGAAGAGTCGCCCAGGCCGTCATGCGCCGTGCAGTCAACGATCCGCCAACCAATCCCGGCTAAAAAACTATGTAACCTTCCGGGATTTTTCCAGCCAATCCTGCTTACATGGCAATGTTGACTTGACGGTTAGAAGCACAGTTTCGCCCACTTCTACCGTGTCTTCTGGTCGTTGCGCGTTGTTTTCCGGGGTGATTTCCATCCAGGCCCGGGACGCCGACATGGCCTCTCTTAGCTCCTCTTCCAGCTGTGATTGGCTTAAGTCCTTGGACCAACCCTCGTCCATCAGTCGGCCAACTCTACGCATATCAATTGGCTTCTATTCCAAATCAAATTCATTCCTGGGTTTCAGTCATTTATTGTCTCTATTTATTAATCAAAATACGTTTCGGTGTATTTTTCCACCATCATCAGTTTTTATGTGTAGCGTTGTTGCTGCTTTAAGCCTTGGCATGCATTTTCTTGCTCGGCAAAAAATGCATGCCAAGGCTTAAACCCACATAGCAAAATGATATTCCCGGAATATACCTGGAACATTCATGTGATGTACATGCATATTCCTGGGACATACATGAGTTACATTATGAACGTTCCATGTATGTCCCAGGAATCTGTCAGAGTTAATACACTGAATGTTCTGGGAATGTACATGGTATGTTCAGTGAATATACATGTGTATTTTCTGGGAATGTACATGGTATGTTCAGTGAATGTACATGTGTATGTTCAGTGAATGTATATTGTATGTTCAGGGAATATACATACATATATGTAACGAAAGAAAAACGATACTTTATTTCCTCTTATTAGTTTATTCACATATTTAAGTATTTACTGATG